TCTCCAGGAAAGTATCATACCCTGGGCTAATTCAGAACTATGCCCACAATTCCTTGGGGATTTAGTCTATCTTTCCCTCACAGAGAGAGAAGATACCCCAGTACCCTTGAGAGCCTGAACTGCCAATAACCATTTCCAATACCACACATACAGTACTACAGTCCTTTCCTTATTCACCAGCCCCTATTTTTCCTTTCTGCCTAGGCTGGTCTCAAAGTATGGCCCCAGGCATCAGCAGGGTCATCACCTGGGAAACTTTTAAAAATGCAGATTCTCACACCCTACTACAGACTGACTGAATCAGAAACTGGAAGCATTTTAAGATTTCTGAGTAATTTCGATGCAAGTTAAAGTCTGAGAACCACTGGTCTAGTAACCCATTGGGCATGGACCAGCAAGACTTGTGAGAGTGGAAGGGAAGAGAAAGAGCAATGGATCCTACAAGCCAGTACAGTTAGCCCCACAGTGTTCGAGGAAGCAGAGGAACACCTGCAAAGAGGGATGACAGAGTTGCAGAGGCTTTTGGCAACTCTGTGTTGTGGACACTAACCCCCAAATTCACTCTACGTCAGCTTGGCTATGGTACCATGATCTTCACACTAGAAACACAGACTCAGTCTTCAATTCATGCTACTCTAGAGAGGGAGCCGTCCAGGGCAGGTAAGATAAGCCACCGGTACCCACGCTCAGCTCCAACTCTCTCCACTTTCTTCCCATTGGACCTCCCTGGCAGTGTGGTGTAGTGATAAGCACCCCCCACCCCCACCCCATGCACACTAGTGTTCAGGATGCCTGGATTTAACAATAACCCACCAAACCTCTGGTGGCACTCTGGACCCTGCTCCCTCCTCTGTTGAATGGGGAGAATACTACTTACTAAAGGAAATGCTATTTAAATGTACAGTATTGCTGTATATAGAATACTCAGGACAGGCATTATTCCTTTTTTTTTTTTTTTTTCTTTTCCATCCTTTCCCACTCTCCTCTCCCCACCCTCATCCTGTCTGCCTGAGCCTCCCTACCTGGCATTTCCAGCACAAAATGGGCACTTGATTTAAAGAAGAGTGGAAAGAACAACGTTAGCATGCTTCTGCTATTTTCCTCTAGCTGCTGCCCAGAAGTGCCAGCTCAGAGCCAGGGGCGCAGACTTTGCCAGTCTCTTCTGAAAACACACACACACACAAAACCCCAAAAACCACAAAACACCTTTTTTAAGCAGAAAAATAATAAACTTATTCAGGTATCTGTCTGACCTCCATTCCTCCTCCCCCCCCCCCCCCAACGTGGGCACACAAAGAGCAGAAGCGAGGGTGTGAGTCGAGGAGGCAGGCTCCGGCTGTCCAAAGTCCCGGTCAACCTCGGCCCGGAGTGCGTCTAACTCAGCTGCAGACTCGAAGATGGGGCCTGGGAGGGGCACAGAGCCCTCCCCGCCCCCCACCTCCCCGGGTTGGGTGGCTGTCAGGCCGCATCTGCTCCAAATTTATAGCTGCTCCTCCGGCCGCTGCCGTCCTCTCCACGGCCTCTTTACCAAGTGCAGCCCCAGCTGAGACCCCTCCCGCGGGGAGGGAGAGGACACACCCGCGTCGGCCCCGGGCTGGGGGCGGGGAGCAGGTGTGAAGCGGGGGTCGCAGCCGCGCGCGCGGTCACCCTCCATCGCACCGCGGAGACCCGCCTTCACCCTAACGTGTACACAATGGCGCGGGACCAGGAGCTCATTACCGGGACCCGCAGAGGAGCGGATGATGAAAGAGTTGGGAGCAAGGGAGGGCCGGCCTCCTGACCATTGCTCGCAGACCCCTGGGCCGAAGCGCGCGACAGTGGAGGGACGAGGCCTGCACAGAGGACACCGGTTCGGTAGCCGCCCGGAACCGACCCTTGCCAAACCCCTACCGTCGGTGCCAAGCTGGGCTCCCAGGGCCGGGCGGGAGAGGAGGAGCCGAGGAACAATAGAGGCCTGCGGGCTGGGGAGGGCCGGGACGCGCCCTGGGAGCGCGCTCCCTGTGGGCGTCCCCCCCGCCCCCGCCCCCGCCCCCGCCGCTCCCCAGCCCCGGGGTCTGCTGATTGCCTATTGTCCGTCTCCCGTCCGCGCCCGCCTGGCGTCCCGGGCCCCGCCGCTACCCCCAGCCTTCAGATCGCGTAATTCATTCTCCCAGCCCGCCTCTTCGGCTCTAAATGAGCAGCTAGCAGCGCAGACACGTGCCGGGGGAAGGGTCGTCCACTGCGGAGGGAGAAGTAGGGGTGGAGGGAGGAGGGGATGCAACCAGAAGAGGCTGCACAGAAAAAGCACTAAGCCCGGGTCCAACACAGTCCCCCCCAGGAGCCAGCGGATAAGGGGACTTTCACTCGCTCCCCGCCCCCACCCCAAATGACAACGCTCTTCTCTAACCTGAACTGCCTCGGGGGAGATTCCTGTCTTTCATTATTTTATTTTTTTTCTGGGCAGTGGATGCCTTTGTCTGGGTTCTGGAACGCAGAGGTAAACGGTGGGAGGTCCAGCCGGATGCTGTGTGTACCTTTAAGGTTGAGAAAGAGTGGGATATGGGAAGGGCGCAGGCAGGGGTTTTAAGGAAGGGTGCTAGGTTGTGACAGCTCTTAACTTGCAGTTCCAAGTCTCCCTAATCCCTGTGTCTTCTGTCCCAGGGAACTCTTCCTAGTGTTCATGGCTTTGTTGATGCTCCTCTCTGCCACACCATTTCCTGTTCCCTGGGAGATGGGCACCTCTGAGAAAGAAGCTGAAAAGGGACCAGGAAGAGGTTTGGGATGATGAGGTCTAGTAATAAAGGTTCTCACCACTGATGGTTTGGTTCACAGGCAATTTAGAGTTGAATGGAACCACAACCTGGTGCCCATGAGCCAAACTGAGGCAACAGACACATTTTGGCCCATAAAGTATTTTTAAAACATTCTACTATGGATAAGAGCATATTGTGGATAATAAAAATACCCCAAATTAGAGGGAATAATAGAATGAAGCCCTGTATATCCATCACCAAGCCTCAGCACTTATCCATTGAAAGGCAACCTCCATCATCTATACCCCCACACTCCCCTTGTGATTTGAAAGCAAATCTTGGAAATCCTATTTCTTCTGTAAATATTTCAATGTAGTTCTAAAAAGTAAGGACTCATTACATAATGTAATGACAACACCATTATCAACCTAAAATATATCATCATCTATAACCAATGTTCAAACTTCCCCAATTGTCTCAATTATTTTTCTTCATTGGTATTGTCGTTCAAATTAGAATCCAAATGAGTCTGTACTGTGCAATGACTCTTTGAACCTGATGTTCTCCATGTAATCTCTTTTTCCCTTGCAATTTATTTGTTGAAAAACTGAGTCATTTGTTCTGTAGAATTTCCCACAGTCTGGATTTTGTGACAATGTATCCCCATGGTGTCATTTAACATGTTCTTCTGCCCCTATATTTTCTGTAAATTGGTTGCCAGATATAGAAGCCCAATCAATTAATGTCTGGGTTTTTTGTTGTTGTTGTTGTTGTTGCAGGAATACTTCATAGGCAATATCGTTTGTCCCAAGAGTAATGGCTGCTTGTCTGTTTTGTTGTTGTGTTGTTATATTAGCATCCAGCAATGATTATTGCCCAGACCCATTATTTCATTAAGGATTGCCAAATTATGACATTCTAATTCTGTGATTCCATCTTCATTTATTAGCTGGAATACTTCTGTAAAGAAAACCTGTCATTAGGGTGCCTGGGTGGCTCAGTTGGTTAAGGGTCTGACTTTCAGCTCAGGTCATGATCTCACAGTTCATGAGTTCGAGCCCCGCATCGGGCTCTGTGCTGACAGCTCAGAGCCTAGAGCCTGCTTCAGATTCTGTGTCTCCCTCTCTCTGTTCCTCCCCCGCTATGCTCTTGTCTCTCTCTCAAAAATTGATGAATAAGCATTAAGGAAAAAAAAGCAAAAAGAAAACCTGTCATAGACTATTTGTTTATCCTAAGATACATTCTGAATAAGAAAGGTAGGATAAATGCTTGATTCTCTCTTCACTCATTTCTCAAAATAACAAGTTGATTACTTAGCATCATCTAAAGGTGAGCAGTGATTTAAATATATAAATATAAATATAAATGTAATTATATATATATGTATATGTATGTATGTATGTATGTATGTATGTATGTATGTATATAAAATTATGGGGGCACCTCAGTGGCTCAGGCAGTTAAGCCTCCAACTCTGGATTTTGGTTCAGGTCATGATCTCATGGGGTTCCTGAGATCAAGCCCTGTCCCCCCAGCTTTGGCTCAGTGTGCTGACAGCAGGGAGCTGCTTGGGATTCTCTCTGTCTCCCTCTCTCTCTGTCCCTCCTCTGTTCGCATTCTCTCAAAATAAATAAATAAACCTAAAAATATATCTTTACAAATTCATGGACTTCAATATATTTGATATGTTTCAAACCAAATATGTTTTAATTGCATGGGTATTTTTTTTTTAATTTTTTTTTCAACGTTTATTTATTTTGGGGACAGAGAGAGACAGAGCATGAGCGGGGGAGGGACAGAGAGAGAGGGAGACACAGAATCAGAAACAGGCTCCAGGCTCTGAGCCATCAGCCCAGAGCCCGACGCGGGGCTCGAACTCACGGACCGCGAGATCGTGACCTGGCTGAAGTCGGACGCTTAACCGACTGCACCACCCAGGCGCCCCTGCATGGGTATTTTTAAATTAGGAGATATTAAAAACACTGAGCTCTAGCACCTGGCTGGCTTCATTGTAGAGCATGGGAGTTTTGATCTTAGGATTGTGAGTTCAAGCCCCATGTTGGGTGTAGAGATTACTTTTAACAATTTTTTTTTAATCTTAAAAAAAAATACTGAGCTCTGGCTTTTCCTGTAGATCATCTGGAATCCTGAGCCTCTTTCCAGCATGGCTGGAGTAGTCTGTGGTTGAAGGGCACTGCCCTCTTAGTGGGCACCTATTCTCACCCTGGTCTGCTTAGATCTTTTCTTTTATCTTCCTGGACCCTACAGGTGTGAGTTTGTAAGCCCGATCCAATCCGTGTTTCATCTTATGGACAAGAAAGCTGATGAGGTAATTTACTTACCTAGGACTGGAAGATAAATCTTCTGGTTGCCTCCCACGAGGGCAGAAGTAGCTGGAGTCAGCCTTCCCTCTAATTTGAGTTGAGTCAGACACCTTGGACTATCTCAACATAATCTTCCTCCCAATTCCCACAACCACCCTTTACAGAGGAAACTTGGGAATATTTGAAACCCCCCTCTTCTTTCTCCTCCCACACCACGTCAGTCACCTAACTTGTTAATTGGCCTCCCTGCCTCCATTCCTGTCCTCCTCCAAATCCTCTTCCTCGCTGGAAAAGAGGTTTTTTGAGAACATTAGTCTAATCATGTCACTGTCTGGCTTTAAAATCCGTCTGTAACTCCTCCGTTGCCTTTAGGTTAGATCTAAGTCAACTTCCTTTGCATAGCACACAAAGCCCCTCATCACCTGGGTGCTGTCCCCTGGTCAGGACCCTGTGCTCCAACCAGATCAAATTACCCACAGGGCTTTGCACACACAGTGCTGCCTGTATTTTGTCCTCTGTATTTGCTATTTGCACTACTCTGGCACCAGCTAACTCCCACTTAGACTTTTCGTCCCACTTCCAGCTGTGATCCTCTCAGGAAAACCTTTTTTTTTTTTTTTTTTTTCTTGGCGTGCCCTGGCTGCTTTCCAGGTCCTGCTCTGCACTTCTGTAGCATCCTGTGCTTTCTTTTAAGAACATCACCTTGCCATGGTGGGTTTTTGTTTTTGCTGCTGCGTTTTCAAGTTGTGTTGGATTTTTTTCCATTTGTCTCCCTCCTGGATGGTGTGGGAACTCCCTGAAGCCTAACCAGCCACTGTGTCTGTGTCTCCAGCACCTGAAACCACAGCACACAGCAGGCGGGGCAGCGAGGGTTTGATGAGTAAATGAAATTAGACTAAAGAGTTGAAGGTTTGAGGACTTTTTTGGACAGAAGTTCTCCCTTCCCTTGTAGGAAGGGGACTTGATGTAAATGACAACTCTATAGTACTCCTTCGACAGATGCCCAGTAGAAGCTAGCGCTGCCTGGGGCTGATGGAGCTTCCTGGGAACCGAGCCCGGTGTCTGCTGCCCTGGCTGGGTCACGACCCAGGACCTGCTTGGGCTTGGCCATCCGCGGGCTGGTGTGTGCACGCGAACGTGCGGGCGGACCGGTGTGTGTGCACGCGCCCCGACCGGGGTGTGTGTGTGTGTGTGTGTGTGTGTGTGTGTGTGTGTGTGTGTGTG